AAATGCATAAATCTGGATACCAATTTAGGAAAAATCACACATTGCAATTTATGGAAAATCAACATTGTAAAATCTGGAAACCAATTTATATATATTTATCGAAATTTGAAAATGTATGAGCTGGCCTATATATAATCACACGCCCAAATGAACATAAATCGAATGAGAAGAGTAATTTTTTCACTATGGAAAATCACACATTGTAAACTCTGGAGCGATATACGTTTGTTCGTCATCTGCAGTGAGAGCCCCTTGTTTTCAGCTACAATGTTGAAGTTCGGTTTCGGTTTGTCACCGCTTGAGGCGGATGGTAGTTCCGGAGACGGACAAACAAGTTTGGCCGGAGGTGAAGAAGTGTTGGGGGGAGATAATACGATTTCGTGGAAAATGGTGCCGATTGCTTGCGATGTTTGAGGCGGAATGAGAATGAAAATGGTGCCTGGTTGCTTTCGTGGAAGGAGAGGGTGTAGAATGTGTGATTTAGGGGAAATGGGATCTCGTACTTGAGTTTTGCAATGTAGGCGGTTTTGTTGATTTTCCCGGTTTTGGTTCACTTTTGGTTTAAACCGGTCACTCCTTCACTGTTTATGCCACGTAATGAGATTTTGAAATCTTGTAATAATTCGGTTCAGCTTTCCTATACCTGTAGCGTTTTTGAAAAACGTATTGGGTGTTGGAAAAAAAAAAAGATAAAAAGAGACTAAAGAATGCTGGCACGTGACAATCTGACAGTAAAAATGGACATGCCTCGTGCATGAAGCAAGACTTCGAATATACCCACACCACTCCCATGTACTTCCACACAACACATCCAAAAACCTAAGAAGTCCCAACTGAAATACCTTTTAATCAATTTTCACGACTCAATGAACTCCATGTTGAAAACTCTTTTTTCTACGTACTCATTTTTTAATTATATTCATAAATAAAATATTATGTACGTAAATTTAAAATTTTTTCTATTTTTAAATCACAAATTTATAATATATTAGATATCGTATCAAGTGAGAATTATTTATTGGAGTCTTACTATAATTCAATTATTTCAATAATACTTTCATTTTCGTTTTTCAATATGTATTTAGCCCCTATTTGAGTCACATTAAAATTTTCGTTCTCATTCTTCTACTCATTTTCAACCACACATTCTTCAATAATATAATATTTTTCACCACATCAATAATTTTTTTCTTTTTCAACCACACATTCTCCATCAATCTGTTATTCGAAAATACATTATTCCAAAATAATATGACTCAAACACTCCCTTAATTTAAGAATTGTAATAAATATTACAGAATTCTTGTTATACATGTATTATTTATAATTAATTCTCAATTAATTAATATTAACATTCATTTAATTGATATTAATTATAATTTTCACATTCACATTTACGTTTGTATCCATATTGTTAATTCTCAATTACGCCCTTGTTTGAGCCTCTCTTTTCACATCAAAATACATTCTTGAACGGTGATTTGACCACATTATAACCACACATTCTTCAATAAATAATATTACACAAAAATCTAGATTTTTTTAAAAAAAAATTTAGCCTCTGTTTGACCCACATTCTTTCAAAACTCGTTTTCAACCACACATTCTTTAATGAAATAATATTTTTTATTTTCATTACTCTTTAACCACATTTTTTTCATTATATCACTTTTAAAATATATTCTTTCCACAATAATATCCATCAAACACACCTTTAACTAGGGCTGTCAATGGATTGAATTTCGATCCGAATCTGACGAAATTAAT